CTTTTGATTTTAAAATAAACCTATTTTGCCTTACTATCATCTATAACTATTTACAATTTTTTTTTTTTTTTAATTTGAATTCTTTAGGTACTTTTTTGTTACAACCGCTCAACAGACAATTTGGGCAGAAACAGATACTAAATTATAATCATATTTTAACAATTCTTTTATTCATAAATTTATAAACATTTACTAAATTATTAAAATATGTGAACCATCTATAAGGAAATCCTTAGTTACCATTTTATAAAGTTTGAATCAATTGACAATTAGCCAATGTTTTGACAACCATTCTAATAAACAATCTAATAAATAAATAGTATTTATTGTTTCTTCTCAAGAAGAAAGAATTCACTTTCATATGTTCAGGTTTTATTAAAATTATAATGATCACTTTTAAACATTGCTGAAGAGTGATGGTAGTTAAAATAATAGCAAAACGTCAAGGGAAAAATCTTCCTTTTAACACACCAGGGTTTTTGGTGGGCATAAAGGTCTAAGATTGCCCACATTTTCTGGATCAAATTTGTTACACAATGTTTGATAGTGTATAACATACCATTTATAACAATGCTACAATTATATTTACAACTCCATTTAAAAGATTATAATTTATAACTTATTAAAAATGAAAGCTGGCATTGTTCCAAGTTCCTTCAGTTGTTTTTTCTTCTTGTTCAATGTATGTCATAAAATTAGAAAAATTGATGTAATTAAAGCAAGTCAATTTAAACATTTTGGTAGACATTTATTTCTTATACATCAATTTATAAATTTGTCAGATTGCTTACTTTCCCTTGCTCCCAAGCTGTGATCTAAATGCTAAGGTCATTCAGAACAGAAAATGGTTTTATTTGATTAACTAAGCATTTTAATTATAAAATGCATCAACATAGCTGTTGCTTATCTAAAAAGATTACAAAAGACTAGGTTGAAAATGAATAACAAAACATTTTTTTTCAATTCTTTTTTAAAGCTGAATATACAAATTAATTATCTTCATTAAGTAAGAACCACTAAATTTGTTTGATGACAGTTGTATGTAATGTTTGCATATACACATGGACACACACCTAATTTTATATATATTTAATATTTGGGGTTCCAATCCTGTTAGGAATGAGTGCAAAACCACTTTCCCCTCTGCAATTTATAAGCAGAAGCACACAAATATATGCTGGGATTTCTTCTAAGCCAATAAAACAGGCCAGTTTTCAGTTTAATATCAGTCCCGATCTGTCTTGTCTTGAAATCAAAACTCTACATTCGCTTATCCAAACTTGATCATGTGTGTGAACATCAATTCTTAGTTTTGTGAATGTTTTGCCATATTAACTGTTAATTTGCCTTGCATATATTGTTTGTTATATATATTGTTGTTTATATTATTTTTTTCCCTGTTCTTTTCTTTTTCTTGTTATTGCAAACTTTGTTAATTCTGTTGGGCAATTCTGCCATTTATTTTACATTTAACCATGGCCACTGACTTTACACACACACATATTTTGAGTTTTATATATTATATATGCAAGTTTTGAATTTGACAAACTACTTGGTCACATACAATATTTGTATAAATGAAGAATTTTTTTAAAATATTAGTAGGTATTAAAAAGTTTTTACAAAAAGAAAATGACAGATTAAATATTATTTACACTATTTATATTGTTTGGACTGTTGTCCTCCTATTTATTATCATATTTACGCCATTTCATTGTGCCACCCTCTGTGGAATGAAGTTAAAATAACAGATAGAAAACATCACTGGAAAATACAAAAACTTAAGGAATCAGCAGATATGCTAGGCCATAAAAATTCCCTAAGCTAGCCAAGCATATACATGAATACAAAAACCAGTAATACAGAGTGCTAGAGAAAAACAACAATAACAAAAATTGTAGTATGAGATCTGGTAAAAAATGCTATGTTTATAAGTCCCCAAAATTCATTCACTGATGTCCAGTGAATAAAAATGTTGCTTGAAGTAATCCAGTGACTTGACCCAAAAAGTTGTGAGTTCAATACCTGGCTACAGCAGGGATGAACAAAAACTTGAAGAATTGAGTTACTAAAGAGAATTAACTGAAACTGAAATATTCAGAAAAAGCATGAACATAGAACTAAAATGATCTACCCCAGTGGACTAAATAAAGGATTTGGTTTGAAATTCCAACATATATCACCTGAAGAAGGCCAGAGCATACAATGGCCGAAACATCATAAACATGACAATAGGGATGAGGACAACAGTCTAAAAAATGTAAATAGTGTAAATAGTTACAACAACTCATCTCAGAAATATAGACATAGATTAAATATTGAAATAATATCTATTCAAATTATAATAATTTAATATTTACACAATAAAACATTTTATTGCAATTCAAATAAATATAATCTAAATACCAAAACTAGAAAATTGATTGTTCCTTTTTTAAAATAAAAAATTAATTGTTATTGACAATGAAGAATTTTGTTTTGTTTTATTCACTTGAATAATCATATTCATTCTTTAAACTAACTTCTGGTTTATCATTTCATTAAAATATTCAAATAAAGATGCATGCTAGATAAAAAAAAAAATTACTAACAAAAATAGTCATACAAAAATTGTAAAATTTATATCAAAAAAGAAAAATTAATTTTAACAATGTCGGTTTTCTGATTGGAGAGAGAAAGAAAAGCAATGAAAGCATATCTTAAGACATCTATGAATTTCATTTGAAGCTTTCAAATTTTTTCGTTAAGAAAAATATTTTAATTACTCAAAAATTACTTATAGAAAGAAATGGATTTTAATCATAATAATGTACGACATTTAGAAAGTTATTAATGCTCTTAAATCTTACAGGTTGCAATGGATAAATTGTGATCAAAATTACATAAAAATGAAAATAACACTGACATCTCAGGAGTTCTGTTGGTCTTTCACTCAATTGTGCCCTAGACATAATAATCAAGGGGGTTGCAGTCTGGGGAGTTAAGTGACCAGATGTAAGGGCTGATGTGGATGCAGAAATTGCCTGACAGCCATGACTGGCTTCTCCTGCTTGTATGGAATGGTGTAGAGTCCTGTTGCCCAACATAGGCCTTTCCAGCAGCCACCCTCTTGACCCAGAGCAGCACTACCTCTTCAAGGCACTTGATGTAGGCCTCAGTATTGAGTCTGAAGCCCTTACCAACAAATTCGGGAGTTCTTTTCTTACCAGAACAATCAGAGTGAGTTTTCCAAGCTGCCATACCTTCGTAATTGCCATTAGACTCATCCAATTCTTTCCAAATCCTCTGCACTGTCCTCAGATTGATACCTAAACAATCTGAAATGTTCATAATGAAGCTTCTGGAGTGAATGCCAAGCAGTACAGCATACAGTTTCCAAATTTCTGGCTGAGTGAATTGCATCCTGAAGCTCTTTTTTTCACAGATGGTGCCCAACTGACCCTACTATAGTGTTCAATTGACAAAAATAAAAAAAAAAAATAAAAAAAAAAAATAAAAAAAAAAAAAACAATGCACATGTGCAAAATTAAAAATATAAATGGCAACAATTTACCCAAACCTTTGGGACAATGGCTCTCAACAATTTTTGTCCTTTCTAGGTCTTAATAAATGTTGTCTTTCTGTTACCACTACTAAATCTTGTTCCAACATCCATTTACTTACGCTCACTGGGTAGTTCATGTATTTTTTTCATCTGTTCCTCTTGCCTTCAATCTGACTTGTGAGTGTCAAATTTCCAAGTTTTCTTTCCTCATTACTTACCCTAGAAATTTCAATTTTCTCATAACATTATGCATAAGTGTCCGTTTTGTTTCCATCTTCTCTAAATTTTTATTGTTGCCCACATGTTCAGTCCATAATATGCTGAATCTCCTTCTGGAGAACCACATTTCTGTTGCTTCAAGTCTCTTCTTCATCTGTGAAGGGGATTGTCCAGTATTCACTGCCATATAGGAGGGCTGATATTGCACAACAGTTCAGTACTCATTTCTTTGTTTCTAATGAAATTTTTTTGTTTCTTAATACTTCACTTAGCTTTTAGAAAGCATCTTTCACTATTGCAATGCACCTTTGGATTTCAATGTCAACCTATGTTAAAACATTTCCCAGATATTTAAATTGTTGTGCTTGTTTGATTTTGGTGTCTCCAATTTGTAATTTGCATCTTGGGCTGCCTCAACCATGTATTTTGTATTCTTTCAATTAATATTTAGTCCTTTTTTTCTGGCTTTCCTTCACTACATTCTGTAGGAGTTCTTGTAGTTTCCTTCCTTATACAGGATTAAAAAGATAAAGGATTCCAAAGAAAAATTTTTAATGAATATTATAGCAGTGTCATAAGAGACGGAAAAGTACTAAGAAGAGAAAAAAGTCAAACAATTATGTCCAAAAAGAAGTACTGAGCAAAATTTCATGGGAAAATTAGCTCAGGGGGAGGTGTTGTAATGGAACGTCCCACACTCCCTATCACCTATGTGGACTGACTATATCAGTAGATATATATAATGAGCACAGGATATACCTGGGGGCTTGCTTTGGGAATTAGTCTAGAGTTGGAGATTCGTCTCCAGCTGTGCTGGTCAAACTCTCTGCCTCTGGACAGAGAGGATGCCCATATGAGGTTATGTCGAAGGGCAGAGTCTCATCTCAGGAAACAGCTATCTGACCCAGTTTTATACCGGGAATTTTTGGCTGAGCCTACAGGCTCAGATACCTCACATTAAATTCGATCTTGTGCCACATCCAACCACGTGGGGCGGTTGGTAGATATCCTTGCTTCAGGAATTACTAGCCTGCTATCTGATTCCCCGTCTTTCAGTAGTGTATTCTCTTTTACAATAAACCTCTCTTTCTTTCATCTATGTATGTGTTGCTGTTCCTTCACTCGAGTACCACCTTTGTCTGTTTGTAACCTATTTAAGGATATAATATAAACCTTCACCATCTCATCAAACAAAAAAAACAAAAAGAAAATTATGAGGAAAGTGAAAATTACTTACTGGCAGAATAGTGTAGAAGAAAACTTGATCAATTGCAATTGGTAGGATATGGCTTGATTAGACAGAGTACAGGTGAATAGGTAGAGAGTAAATGTAGTGACACCAAAGTCCAACAGAGAAGAACAATATTATGAGAAAGGGGACTCTGCAGTCTCCCACATGGATTGAGACTCCTCAACATTTGTTTTTTTACATCAGTTTTTCTGATCTTCCAAAGTATCATAAACCTGGAAAAAAAGAAAGAAAAATAAAGAAATGTATCCCCAAATATAATGTGTAAAAAAAAAAAAAAAAAAAAATACATATCCTGGAAATACACACTTAAAGGGAATATTTCTTCACCTATTGAATGCAATATGCTTCTTATATTACCAATTAGATCATAAGCTAGAAATATATAGAGTAGAGAAATAGAAACTTAATATGTTGGAGCAGAGTTGTTTACAATCTGAAAATCAGATATGTGATGTACATGTAGCATAATCGTTAGTGTCTTGGAACAAGAAATTGTCAAGCCAAGTTCAGATTCCATCTAAGTTTGTTATATTCCATTTTGCACAAATAACCACAGATATGGGTTAAATAGCAGGACAGACTGGGCTCTCTAGCTATTGTTGCCAACTAGTCTAGGAGAAAGAAAACTCAGCATCCAAACTTGAAGAGGGCTGTTTAGAGACTTTATGGCCCACTGTACACCATTTCTCTGTTAACAAAAGTGTGGCTGATTCTACACAAGCCTTCACCACTATAATCCACTATAATCAAATTATGTGTGTGCACAGAGTCTGGTGGTTTCGTTCTAAAAAAAAAGTAAGCTGTTAAGCCCTCATACATCAAAATCAACTGGAGAGTCCACTGTGTGTGTGTGTGTGTGTGTGTGTGTGTGTGTGTGTGTGTGTTACAGTAAGGTTCATCCTGTACAAGTTCCAGGGGCCACTTGAGGTAGAGGGTTATGTTAGGAGAGGAAGGTAATGGCTTACCCTAGACTTGAAGATTGTAGTGATCAAGGAAACCACCTTTTGGGAGTTGGTTCCACAGAGCAGTGGTTCACAGCAAGAAGCTGTCTGAGTGGAACATACTTCTCAGTGATGGACTACAGAGGGAATGTGAGTGGTTTGCTACAATGTAAGTGCTATGACAGGTCCTTGCTGTGAAGGTTAGGTCAGTGGAACCCAGAAATGTAGTTTGTCCAAGCATTTACCATGAAAGCTGTGAAAGAGAGGTTGTAGGGTGAAAGATAATTTGTCACCCACAAGGACTCTGAGATACCCAAATATGATGACAGTACTCCATTCTTGGCCTGATCTGGCTCTTGTAACAGTATAGCATGTGGAGTCAAGAACTTACTGGAACAGTATAGGGAACCAACCATTTTACCTGCATCTTTAGTAATGGCTCATATATACAAGTTCCACTTGAGGTCAGGTATGAGTTTAAGGCCCAATATAATAGTACACAGTGAATTGCATTGAACAATGAGGAACAAATGTACTATATATACTCATGGATAGGTTGCACCATTAGATAGGTCACACTATAATCTGTGGAGTTATATGGCCCTTTTTTTAACAAATATAACTACAATTTTTTAAATATTTTCAAATATTCACCTTTATTTCGAAACTTTGCCTATATATATATATATATATATATATTAAAACATAAGAAAAGTGTTTATTCATTTAAGTATAGTTATTAAACTTCATCAGGATTGAATCCCAAAAATTCTTCTTCATCACTGTCAAACATTCTTTTCATTTGTATTTACTTAGTGAGTGTGGGGTTGCTGTGTTTAGATGAAAATTTGGATACCAGTAATTGCTTCAGTCTTAAAAATCACTTGAAAATAATTGTCATTCATTGTAAATCAGATAATAAATGGTAAATATGAGCAGTGAAGACCGAGCGCTTTTATTTGATGTATGATGCGTTGCTGTTGGAAGAGTCAATTGTGTAAAATTGAAATGTCAGGAAAGATCCTTTTTCTACCTTGCTCTTGCTTATGCACCAAGACCAGGGTACTCACCTGGACTACTGATACACCATAGCCTACTTTAAATTCTGTGCTGTCGAGTGAATGGGTTGCAAACCTGATTTTTATAGAAATTTTGGTGAAAAAAAAGTGCAACCTATCCTCAAGTATATACGGTATATTCATTCTTAGTATATATTATGTAAATGGTTAGTTAAATTTCAAGATAGTTAACTATCAACAAAATTCCCAAATTCCAAGAAAATATCAGATGTTTAAACAATAGAAAGAAACCTATATGGTTCAGCTATTTCAAATTATTTGTTCTAATAATATAAACATCATTAAAATACAAAAGCAACAATGTTTTGCATTTGGATGGAGAATTGTTTTCATGGAAAAAAAAAGGAAAAGAAAAAAAAAGAAAATTAAAAAAATCCAGCTAAAACTTATTTTCTGATGTTAAACAGAAATGCAATTTTCTTACTTTAAAAATGAAAAATATTGAAGGAATCATAAAGTAATCTCTTTCAAAATTATAGAAAAAAAAACAGTTTACAAGCAGCAAACATGTTTCATAAGAAATCTATAAATTTGCTCTTGATTTACAAAAAAGAAAACAAAGGAAAATATTTCATATGAAAATTGTTTAGTTTATTTTTAAATTTTATCATAAAATTCTGATTTTCTACAGAGAATTTTTTAATCAATAATCAGTTATGATATATTTTTGAATACAGATAAAGATGGATGACAGCAACATTGCTTTCAAAGATTTCAAATATTAATATAACAATGACAATTATTCTCTTCCTTCAAAAAATATATTTTACACATAATGTATCATAGAAAAATGAATTACCTTCTCACACTTAAATTTATTTAATCAAATTAAGTATAACTCCTGCAAAAATAATTAAAACAATTTCTTACATAAATAAATATTCTATTAGTGCTTGGAATATCGATAAAAATGTTGAATAACTTTATCACATACTACAATTATTCAAAGCAATTCATTTTTTTTTTTTTTATCATTTCACCCCAAACAAGGCAACAATGCCACTAAAATGCAGGTGGTTACAGGGAGTGAAAGTGTTGTAACCTAGAGAAAGTTACTGAATATAATAATCACATGAAGATTGGTAATGAACGCTAATACTTAGGACATGACCAACATATCTAAGATTCGCCAGCAGCACATAGAAGTAGTAGACAACTGCTAGGAGTGAGTCAAGTGAATTCCACACGACATCTCCAACTGCAGAATATCTCCAACTGCCATGTGGTCAGATGTGGCACAAGGCCAAATTTAATGTGGGGTATCCGAGCCCATAGGCTTGGCCAAAATTCCCCATAGACCCTGTATAAAAAAGAGCTGGGTGGCTGTTCCCTGATATGAGACTCTGCTCTTCAACATAGCCTCATCTGGGGATCCTCTCTGCCCAGACACAGAGAGTTTGACCAGCACAACTGGAGACAAATCTCCAACTGCAGACCAACATACAGTATTTACTACTGTATTTAGGTGAATGGGGACATACCCATTATCATCCATAGGTATGCTACAACAGAAAGAGAATGAGAAGACTTTAGTGAGGAAAAGGATAAAAAATAACAGGGTTCAGGAAGGCAGAAGATGCCAGTTGATGTTACATTTAAATTTTTGAAGGTTGTGGGTGGAAAGGAAGCAAGAGATCAGAACAGAGTTCCACAGGTGAGAAGTGTGAGAAAAAAAAACTGACAATTGCATCTAGCTAGTTCAACAGTGAGACATAGTTGCCAATCTAGTAGCACACTTAATTCATGCAGTCATGGCACTGATAGAAAAGCTCATCAGAATACTTGCCATGAAAATATTTGTAGAAAAGACAGAGGGTAGCCATGTCACATCAGTGAAAATGACTGAAGTTGAAATGCCAGGTCACGATCAAATAGATTACAGAACCTTCTTTGAACTTTGTCAAAAATATTGAGATATCTTTGCTCATAAAACCAATACCATGAAGTATTTTTGAAAGAAAAATATTCATTCACTTTTCTTATAACAAATAAAAATCTTTAAAGCAAAACATTAAACAAATGACAATATCAAAGTCTATAATAATATTTCAGTTATAGGGGTTGATTAAAATTATATAAATTATATCGTTAACAAAGTTCATTGTATTTAAGCTTCATATACTTAGTTAAATGAATCTCAATACAAAACATTTGAATATTCATATTTTTTTTCTTTTGAGAGTAATGGGATAGTTACCAAAATAAAATTCAAATAATTAAGATTGAAAAAAATTGTAATGATTAAATGATTAGAGAAATATTGTTATCTTAACAGAGTATTTAATTTGGAACAATTGTGCTGATGTTTGGCAATCATCCAAATAGGTCATTAGCAAGGAAGAACAATTGTTCTTTATAGATCACTAAGTTGACTTGAAATGATTATTGTAAACAATACTAAGTTAATATTTGCTTACCTTTACTTTCTATCTTGCATATAATGAAATAAAGGTTTTACTATAATCCAGTTATTTTGAGCAGAAACCAAAAAATGAGCATTATGAGAAGTGAAAGTTTTAATATCATTTTTTATCATATATGTAAATTATAGCAAATGATAAACCTAACTTGTTAACAGAAAAAAGGTAGGTACATGGAAATGTTTTTTTTTTCTTTTTTTAATTAGAATAAAGTTAATAGTTTCAAAGCAAAGTTTAAGATTACTCTATTGAGTAAAACTTTCAGCTAAAAGATGAATTTGATATATTCTGTATTTATTTAAGCATTAACTGTAATACATTCTAAGCTAAATGCTGTCATCCCACTCACCAACATCAGCTGATATGGAATGAAAAAATTCAAATTTATAACTTGGTTGTCAGCAAAAGGAACAAATCAAAGTGTAAACTATAAATTGGAGGCATCAAAATCAAGCAAGTGCAAAAATTTGAATATCTGGGAAGTCTTTTAACAGAGGACGGAAAATGAGACCAAAATCCAAAGGCACCTTGAAATAGTGAAAGATGCCTTCCTAAAACAACTTAAGAAACAGGAAAATTGTCAGAAACAAAGAGTACTGAACTGTTATGTAATATTGGTCCTCTAATATGAAAGTGAATGCTAGAAAATCTCATCACAGATAAAGAGGAGATATCTGGCAACAGAAATAAGGTTATACAGAAGGATGCTGAGAATACCATCAAGTGAACATGTGGGCCATAACAAATTTTTATGGAAAATGTAAACAAAAAG